CCTTGTATCGGGTGGCGCTGGCAGGGCCGCTTCAGTTTGTGTTCAGTGTTGCTGTTCCTTGTGCTCCGTTCCGCTTGCTGTCTTGTTCATTGTTTCACCTCCGGCCTGCTCATAAGCTTCCGGTGCCATCCTGGTTGTTGGTCTGGGTGGTCTATTTTCTTTTTTCTCCTCGGTTTGTTGTGACCCCTACGGTTCTGGTGTTTTTATTGTTTTTCAGGTACCTTTTTCTGTTGGTGTTGACCTCTGGGGGTCGAATCAGAGAGTTTCTGGCTCTTCTCCGGCGGACGTGTTTTTTTCTGCCTCGTTTGATCCTAGTGGTAGGTTGTTCATTTGCTGCAGTCTCCTTCTTTTCGGGTGATGTTTGGGTCTGCTGTTTCCCGGAGGGGGTCCTTGGGTTGCTGCTTGGTTGGTCAGGCCGGGGGTGCTTCATTTGTTGTGTTTAGTTGCGGCTCTTCGCTGTTCTCGGCGTGTCTTGGTCTCTTGAGCCGTAAACGCGTTTTGGTTTGCCCGGATTCTCTTCCTTCCCTCCTTCCTGTTCTGAGGTTCAGGCATCCTGGGTCATCTGCAGGGTCCTTTAGTTTCGTCCGTGGTCTTGTTTTTGTGTTAGGGAGCGTGGCCTACGCCTCCCGAATCCTTTCCTCTTTTCCTTATCTTTGGTGATGTAGCTCTGGTAAGCCGATGGGCCTCCCCCTCAGAAAACCAGCGTTGAATGTAATGAAACGCCATTTTCCGGGTGAGACCCAGAGGCTCCCCCGGCATCCTCCCTCCCTCTGGTTGGCTGTGTTATCGTGGGTTTTGACATCCAGCCTGTTAGACATTCATCCAGAACTGCCGGTTGGATCGCCGGCGCGGAGAGTTTGGGGCTCCCCCCTTTCCCCTTCAGGGGAGGGGGGGAGTGATGCACAGACGGCGGCGCGGCGTCGTGATGTCGTCATGCTAGTTTACTAATTTTTGTTTGGGGAGTTCTGTCGATTCGTTCAGCTTTCGGTACTAATAGTTTCACCAGAATAGGGGTTTGTTTTGGGACACCTACCTTTCTGGGTGTCAGACTCGGTCGATGGCAGACAGAACGCTCCCAACCACATGGGGGTTTCTATAAGCCATTGCTCCTCGCGCCTCTCCGAGGAGGCCAGGTTCTGGCTCGTGGTCCCTAGTAGGCAGGAACTCCATGCACATTGACCGATGCCAGAAAGTTATACATGTCCATTCAGCCTGGATAGCTCCTCGGAGCATCCGGGTCTCACCCAGAAAATGGCGTTTCATTACATTCAATGCTGGTTTTTTACATTTATTCACTGTATACAGACGTTATATATAAGTATCTATATGTTTTGTTCACCATAACTGTACAACTAAGCTGGTATGGTGAGTTGCAGACATTAATAGAGGTCGCCACACACACAGCTGATGCTGCCTTCCTCCTTAACGCGTTCAAGGCCAGACGCACTAACATTCTTCCTCCAACCATAGTGTTTTTGGTGTTATTACACTATATGCACATATTATATATAAGTATTTACATGTTTTACTCACCATAACTATACAACTAAGCTGGTATGGTGCCCAAACATCATAGTGGCCACCCTATCTTGAGGTTATATCTTGAGATGATTTCGAGGGTTAGCGTCCCAGCGGCCCGGTCCTCGACCAGGCCTTCTTGTTACAAATCCCCCAGGAAGCAACCCGTAGCAGCTGTCTAGCTCTCGGGTACCTATTTACTGCTAGGTGAACAGGGCATTAGGGCGAAAGAAACTGCCCATTTGTTTCCGCCTCCACTGGGGATCGAACCCAGAATCTCAGGACTATGAATCCGAAGCGCTGTCCACTCAGCTGTCAGACCCCTCACAGCTGCACAGCATGACAAGTTCTGCAGACGACACCACCTCTTTCACCAAAATGGCTCCTCCCAACATACTCGTTTTGCTGTTAGTACACTAATACACACGTTATATATAAGTATTTACATTTATGTTCACTATAGCGAACCACTAAGCTGATATGGTGATTCCAGACAATAACATGTGACCACACAAAGTCAGCAGGTGATGCTACCTTCCTCCTTCGGCATTACGCCTTTCACCATACTACGCACAGCGCTAATTATCACAACAGTCCTGCTATTATCAGAATCCTGGTCATTTTTATCACAGTTTAAATCTATCACAGAAAATCTTCTGTAATACTATCATCACTAAATAATACCAGTTACATATATATTTTGACTTTTTAGACGATGCTGTGGTCACAAGCTGAAAAGCGGTGCTGTTAGCTAATGCTGCGTGCACCAGCCTTGGTTGCTCACTCAATACTGAGGCTCTCACACCCTTGAGTGTTGCCCATTATTTTTTTTTTTTTTTTAAATGGCGTCTGTTTACAAGAGCCCTGAGGAAGCTGATGTGAATCCTGTGTAGCCGCAGGACTTTTAAATCTTACGTTGTACTCCCAACAATACATAGCTGTGGTGCGCAGTTCCGCGATAGTTACTCACCCCAGCTATATATGTATTGCGCAGTTTAAGGGTTAAGCATCATGTTAATTTCTGTTGCCCAGTTGAAAACTTGATTAATATCTGCTTGAAGTTTTTCAATGTCTTCAGCAGAGGTAATTTTCATGCAGATTTTTGTGTCATCTGCATAGGATGATACGAAGCTGTGACTTGTATTTTTGTCTATATCTGATATGAGAATAAGGAAAAGCAGTAGTGCTAGGACCGAACCCTGAGGTACTGAGCTTTTAACTGCGCTTGGACTCAATTTTATATGGTTTGACTGTTACTCTTTGTGTTCTGTTTGACAGAAAACTGAGTATCCACCGTCCAACTTTACCAGTTATTCCCATTGACCTCATTTTGTGTGCTATCACTCCATGGTCACATTTATCGAATGCCTTTGCAAGGTCAGTGTATACCATATCTTCATTCTGTTTTTTTCTAATGCCTTAGTGACCTTGTTATAGTGGTCAAGTAGCTGTGAGAGACACAATCTTCCTGCTCTAAATCCATGTTGGCCTGGGTTATGAAGGTCATTGGTCTCTGTGAAACTGGTGATCTGACTCCTGATCACTTTCAAATACTTTTATTTTGTGGGACTGCAACTGGTTTATAATTGTTTGCCAATGCTTTGCTTCATCCCTTGTGTAGAGGGGCTATGTCTGCTGATTTAAGCGCATCTGATATCTTCCCTGTGTCCAAGCTTTTCCCTCCACACTATACTGAGTGCCTGTGCTACTGGCACCTTGCATTTCTTTTTAAATATTGAATGAATCTGGACCTGGAGCTGAGTGCATGGGCTTTTCAATTTCTTTCAAAATCTGCCACACTCGTGTTGATATCAATTATATTTACAGGGGTTTGGATATCACGCATAAAGAAGTTGTCCGGGTTCTTCCACTTTCATGCTATTTATTGGAGTGCTAAACGTGGCCTGATACTGCTTTTTTAGGATTTCACTAATTTCTTTGTCATCCTGAGTGCCTGTGCTTAGGCACTCAGGTTCATACACTTCTGAAGTCAGTGTATGAACCTTCACTCGTACAAATAGGTCCAATACTGGCAGTGGTTTTTGCTTTTGATTTCACATATGTGAAGAAATATTTTGGGTTTTTCTTTTTTTCTTGAAATGCTTTCTGTTTTAGTTGCCTTTCTTCACTCTTGATATGAGTGTTTCAGTTTCTGCTCGATTTCTTCAATCTCCCTGTTTAAATTATTCCCTCTTTGTAATGAAATTCATATCTGCCTAAGTATTTCTTTTATTTTTTCCTTCTTTTATAGTGTCATCTGCGTTCTCTTTCTACGTTAGACCTCTTTCTGACTTTTCTCAAAGGAACATGTTTCAGACAAACTTTATATGCTTCTGAAGTCAGTTTTTCTATTCCTCCTATAAGATTTTTAACTGATGCCAAAGCATCAGTGATAAAATTATGGCACAAACCACTAAACGAGTGGTTTGGTGGTCTGTGATGATTGGTCGCTGTCGCTCTGGCGACAGCCGGCCTGCAGTCTACCCTCGTGCCCATGCTGTTCGGATGTGTGCCGCTCATTCGGCTGTCTTTGGACGGTTTTGGGATTGGTCCCGGTCCTGGCCTCCAGGTTTCTCGTGCCCATCCCGGGCCCTCTGCTGCTTTGTGTTGCTTTGGGGCTTCTATAGCGGCCAGCTGTGTTTGTTGGGTTGCGCTCTGTGGGGCTGCCACCTAACAGGTTCTTCCCTGTTTTCCTTCTCTGTGGGTAGTTGGCTTCAGGGAACCGAGGGGGCTTCCCCTATCCCAAGAAAACCACCATTGAATGTAATGAAACGCCAGTTTCTGGGTGAGCCCCTGCATGAGGGTGGAGCTAACGAGGGAGGGGTTAGTGGGATGGCATTTTGCTTGTTTGTTTGCTTCTTGGGGGAGTTCTTTTGCACTTGTGAGGACATAGCTTGCAATTGCAATTTTTAATCAGTGATCTGTTTTGATTTGCCTACCTTTCTGGGTCCTTTCCCGGTCAATGGCATGATGACCTACTTTAAATGTGATGGTCATGGTCATTGCTCCCATTGCCTCTCTGAGGGGGCCTGTTTTTTTTTTTTTTTTTGAGATATATACAAGAGTTGTTACATTCTTGTACAGCCACTAGTACGCGTAGCGTTTCGGGCAGGTCCCTGGAATACGATCCCCTGCCGCGAAGAATCGTTTTTTCATCCAAGTACACATTTTACTGTTGTGTTAAACAGAGGCTACAGTTAAGGAATTGCGCCCAGTAAATCCTCCCCGGCCAGGATACGAACCCATGACATAGCGCTCGCGGAACGCCAGGCGAGTGTCTTACCACTACACCACGGAGACTGTATCATGGTTTCTGGCTCATGGTCTCTGGTAGGCTTATAAAGAACTCTGTGACTAATGCCATTCAAGTAGAAAGTACTTGATCAGTAAGGTAGCTTCAGAAAAGCCTCCGGGGCTCAGACAGAAACTTGCATTTCATTACATTCAATGCTGGTTTTTTATCTAATTAAAAATTTCAACAGGTGGAGAATGTCGATGAAGTGCTTGCATTCCATAATGATTTTCTGAATGGATGCTTAAAGGACTGCATGCTAACTTCACCAGAACTGCTGCGCATGATCTCCAAACTTACCAGCATTTGTGTCAGTTTTGCCAATTTTATTGAGGTAGGTCTTTTTGACAAAATTTTACTCCTCTGTTTAATAGCATATTGACTTATACAAATTTTTCTTCATATATTGCAATACATTGCATTCCAATCATGCATTAGTGTCATTTTGTTGAAAATGTCTTTCAAATCATTTCACTAATCATTATGCATAAATATGACAAATCTTGTGCGACCTAATTTTTTTTATTATTATCATTTTTTTTTTGAGATATATACAGGAGTTGTTACATTCTTGTACAGCCACTAGTACGTGTAGCGTTTTGGGCAGGTCCCTGGAATACGACCCCCGCCGTGAAGAATCGTTTTTACAACCAAGTACTGTACCCATTTTACTGTTGCATTAAACAGAGGCTACAGTTAAGGATTTGTGTGCAGTAAATCCTCCCCGGCCAGGATACGAACCCATGACAAAGCGCTTGTGGAACGCCAGGCGAGTGTCTTACCACTACACCACGGAGACTGTTAATTGTTAATTGATTTCCTTTGAGGGAAGCCCTTATTAGCTTCCTTATGCTTAAACATAAGTCTCCTTTAGAAAGTACAAGTGCAATAAAATAACAACTGCTTTAAAGTATTTAAGATCCAACAGTAATGAGGCCAGACACAAGGTACCAGTTGGGATCCTAAATCCTTCAGGAAGCTCACATGAAATAGATATCATTAGGTTTGTCAACATAAGAACTGCTGGTAGAAGTCTGAGGAAGGAATTACTCAGGGACCTGTGTGTCACATTTCAGACTAATCCTGGAATATGCAGCTCTAGCAAAGAATCCTTACCTTGTCAAACACAAAATCATTTTTGAGAAAGTCCAGAGATATGACATCAGACTAGTTGCAGAACTGAGTGGTACGAGTTACGAGGAAAGACTTACAGAACTAAACCTCCTTTCACTTTTTAGTGGGATGAGTTATAGATAAACAAGAGAACACAAGTGGAATGCAGTACAGCCGAAACCTCTATTTAACTCGACAGTAAAATTTCCTGCATGGAAATTTAGTACCTAAATTACATTATAAGGACTTTTTCTGTGTCATAAATATATTGCACTAAGAAATAAAGTGCTTGAGGCTGACTTCTTACACAGTTTCAAAGATACTATAGAGGCAACAGAGATTAGTAGGCTTGGAAATGTGTCTACCAGGTGATTGAAAGTTGAGAGGTAGGGCCAAAGAGTTGAAGCTCAACCCTTGCAAGTACAAATTGATAAATATACTGTAGTACCAACAGTGATGCATCTGACTGCCCTTGGGTGGCAGGTTAGGTCATCTGAGGCTCCAGGCAGTCAACCCTCTCACTTTTAACCACTGCACTGTGCAGAGCACCTTAACCCTTAAACGGCACAATACATATACTGTATAGATGATGGAAGTAACTTTACTGAAACCGCGCAATACATATATAGACGATTGAGCATCTAGCGCACGATTTTAAACGCCCCGAGTGAGATAGGGGCAGCTATAGTCAAGCCAAACCCGGCCATAAACAAACGCCACCTGGGCAAAAAAATCCAGCGTAGGCTGTCATTGTGTACAGGCTGTACTCGGCAGACATCGTGGCGAGCGCATCACGTTCCACCGACCGACCCCGCTCAACGAAGCGTGCATCGCAACAGATTTTGTTCCACAAATTCCTGCCTTTGATAATTCAGATGTTGGGATTACAGACCTTTTCCCTGATACAGGTGACGATATGTGTGAAATGGACTACTTTACCGCATATTTTGATGAGCCGTTCATGGAACATATTGTTCAAGAAACGAACAAATATGCGACTGATCTCATTCGTGAGGAGTTATCCGATTTTTCACAATTAACAGCGATGGAAAGATATGACTTTAGGTGAAATGTATGTAATTTTGGCACTGTATGTTGATGAAACATTGTGTTAAACACGTACTTGACCATTATTGGATCAAAGACCATACTGTTCCAACACCAATGTTCGGGAAATATATGTCTCGAGACAGATTTGCGATAATCTTCAGGTGTCTTCATTTTGCAAATAATAAAGACCAGACTGAAGATGATAGACTTTGGAAGGAAAGTCACATCCTGAATGAACTTATCGGAAAGAACAGGGATTTCTACGTACCAGCTTAGAAGCTGATGATTGACGAATCCCTTGTGCTTTTTAAAGGACGTCTTGCCTTCAAGCAGTATATTCCCTCCAAATGCCACAGATTTGGATTGAAATTCTTTGTACTCCGTAGCTGTGAAACAGGAATTGTGTTACACATGATAATGTATAAATGTAGACATTCCTGCTAATGGCCAACATAGCTTCTCAGGTAGTGTGGTGAAGTCACTGCTTGCACCATATCTGAACAAGAGCCACATATTATACACAGATAACTATTATACCAGTCCCTTGCTAACTAGGTTCTTGCTTGATAATATAACTGGAGTGTATGGCACAATGAAGGCAAAGCGAAGGAAAATGCCACTGTTTCACACTGCTATGCAGGTTAGTGATTGCGAGCTAAGGAAAACTGGTGCAATGCTTTCAGTGCGGTGGAAAGACAAGCGTGAAGTGAACATGTTGACCACCGTTCACGATGGCATAATGGTTGGACAGTGGTAAGGTGAACAGAACAACAAAACAAATAATCTTTAAGCCAGATTGTGTTTTGGACTATAACATCAACATGTATTTGGTGGATAAATGTGATATGATGGTGGGGGCAGTAGAGTGTGTATGGAAAATAGTGAAGTGGACCAAGAAAATGTTTTTCCACCTTGTTGATGTAACAATGCTGAACAGTTACAATATATATCTTGTCAAAACAGGTGGTAAACGAAATTTCCGTGCATTCAGTTTTACTGTAGTGACCCAATTACTAGAAAAGTTTGGCAAACCAATTCCTGGCATACAGAGGCCCATTGTGAACCCAGTATTGCTCTCCATGCTCATTGTTTTTTTCTTGTGCTCAAGAAACACAAATAAAGAGATTAATAATAAAAAAAAATTTGAATATTTTTTTGTTGCGCCTGTGGGTGTTGAAGGCCAAAGGCCCTTAGCGGCTTAAGGGTTAATGCGCCGAATCGGGGGTGCGCAAAGCGCCATATGGTGCTTTTAGGTATAGGGAGTGATTCAAAACTCCTACGGATACATGGGGCTCACATCCTGTGCCTCAGGACTCCTGTAAACAAATGCCATCTTGGAAAAAAAATTGTCTGCATCCGTGCTGGTTGTGAGAGCTTTAGAACTGAGAGAACGACCAAGGCTGGTGCATGCAGGAGCAGTGCACAGCACCGCTGTGTTGCCAGGGGCTAAAGCACCACTTAGTAATGATGAATAAAATAGATAACTAAAATTAGTTTGAGTTGATAGATCGTGTTGTAACGTACGATTACGTGTATGTATTTGGTTGATTAGATATACAGAGTTTAGTGGTTTTTCTGGGGGGGAGCCCCTGCAGCTCCCGCCAGAAAACCGGGCTGATATGGATATTTTTAGACCCTGGCATCAGTTTAATGCGCATGGAGTTCTAGGCCTACTGGGGACCATGAGTCAGAACCTGGCCCCCTTTCAAAGAGGCACGAGGAGCAATGGCCTATAGAAACCCCCCATGTTGTTGGAAGCATTCTATGTCTGCCATTGACCGGGTAAGGCACCCAGAAAGGTAAGCGCTCCAAAACAAACCCTTATTCTGGTTCAAATATTGCTACTGAAAGCCGAACTAGTGGACAAATGAAAACTCTACAAATGAAAACGAGCATGACGTCACCACGTCACCGCGCTGCTGTCTGTGCAGCTCTCCCCCCATGGGATGGGGAAGGGGGAGCTCCAGACCCCTGTGCCAGCTATCCACACCCCAGTTCTGTGGCTGATGTGAGGCTGGCAAGGTTGTGCAACTCGGGCTCCCGATTTCCAGTCCTGTGCCTTGTGGTGTAGTGCTGTCCTCAGTGGTGTGCGAGCAAGGAATATATTCACAAGTACTCGGGCTGCATGCGCTTAGGGTCACCTTCCCCTAGGTGCTCAGTAAGTACTGCCCTTGGGGCTTGGGGCCATCTTCCACAAGTCACCTTGGGGGCTACCTCCTCAAGGTCTTTTGCTGCTCGCTGATTGGCTGCCCTTGGAGTCAGCTGGGGTATTTCCTTCACCCCTGTTTGCCTCTGGGTAGGGGGGTAGTATTCATCACTGGTTGGGGCAGGGTACTGTGTGGCTAGTTATCACCTCTCGTAGCGGCCAACTCTGTTCCGACTGGGTACGTTGTCCTCTTGTGGGGTTTTTCTTTTGTTTTTGTTTTCTTGCCTGGTCTGTCCCTTGGTTTTGGTCTCACCCGATTGTATCTTGGTGGTCCCCCGCTAGGCCCCGTTGAGTGTACACATCCCGGGGGGCTGGGCAGCTTTAGCAGTTTTGTTGGTAATTTTGTATGCTGGTTAGCAGTACCCTGCCTGGAATTCCCTTAGCGTCAGTTCCGTCTAAGGGCCCTGGGAATCCCTGCGGGGGCACTTGGGTCCGATGGAAGCGACCCCTGGGTCCCCTCTCGCCTTGTGCAGGTTTGAGGGTTGCTTGGTTCGCTTGTCTCCGGATGACCTTCACCATTTGTGTCTCCATCATTCTGCCTGCTGGGTCGGTGACACCTTCGACTCAGAACCCTGCGAGTCTTGTTGCTTGTTTGTGACTCAGTACACCCAGTCCACTGATGACACTATTCGGGTGCAGGCAGCTCAGGCGTTTCATGCTCGTTTTAGATTGCTGCAGCGCGCTAGGTTGGTTGCTGACCCAGAAAAGCATATACAGAGAGCTCAAAGGCAACTAGAAATGAACCCTGGGAAGGAGTCTCACCTAATTCAAACTCATAAAGGGAAGGGGGATACAAAAACCACTTACCAAGCAATAGCAGACCCTGCACAGAGGACACAAGGGCCCATGCAGGGTCAAAAGAACCCCAAGAGTTCCAGTCAGACTCCCCCCATGCCCTGGAAACTGACAACAAACCCCTCATCCATGCCCACGCCCAAGAAGAGAAGGCAGAGTCCAAGAAAAAG